TATGATGGATTTTCATAGTTTAGCATTGAAAGTTAAGGGTTAAGCAGTGAAATCTGCATAAAATGCATTTGCAGTAAAAATGAAAGCTGAAAGTAAAACATCCTAACAAGACCGTTTTAGAGTGATCTTTATTGTTTTCATAAAATCAACCGCTGGAACATGAAAGTGGACGAAACGGCCAGATATGATGTAAGAACGGCAGCGTTTGGCTGTAATTTATTGAGCGTTCGGAGCGTTTCTGCAATCGTAAACATCACAGATGTAGCGTAGATTACACTGTCTGTGTATCAACAGATTTGACCCTCGCAGGAAATTAATTGGAATGAGTTTATATATTTCTAACCTAATCTGGTTAAGTGTATGGATCGCCGCAGTCAAGCTTGGGCTTTAATCAATTTCTCGGAGCGAAAGCCCTGGAAAGAAACACAATCTTTTTGTTCTGATGCTGCGCCGCTGCTTAGAGCGAAGCCGAATGGAGCAAAATACGCTTATTATTAGTTTTGTGTGCGCAGACACAATAAATCACGTTGACACAAATTGACAATATCTTAGCATCGGCATGGAATCCGTTCGGATTGTAATAAATATAAGCTGATTATTATGTCTCCGCGGCCTCTGGCCCCTTTGACCAGCTGTCATTAATAAGCCACCTCTTATTTATCAACATTTTAAATGCCAACTTCAAGTCGAAATGAAATCTTTCCGCATGCGTCCAATCCGTCTCCTCGAGGGAGAGCGTTCAGATCCAGCCTGATCCAACACACCTGTCTGGAAGCTTCTGGTGACCCTGAAGACCTTGTTTAACCGCTTCAGGTGTGTTTAATTAGCGCTGAGCTCAACTCTGCTGGATAGTTTGGCGCTCCAGGAATATAGTTTGGCGCTTTTGGAGTAGATGCACACGACTAGTTCACTCCTAAAGAGAAACATTATTTACTAAAACTCATGCTTTTTCCAAACCTTTGTGGATTTCTGGCTTCCTGTGGGACACAGAAGAAGATATTCTGCAGAAATTGGAAATGAACACGGGATTGGGGCAAAAATGCCCCCCAAATTCAAGATAGCCAATGCATCACCGAATGCAAAAAATGCATCAACGATGTTGCTAAAAGTTAATTGGAAATCATCTATATCAGTCATTCTCAACCAGCAGGGGGCCTCGGGATGACTTAAAAGTATTAATAAATTAGTAAGTAATAAACGATTCATATATAAAAATAAAATCACACAAAATCAAGAAATATATATTTAGTAATAGTTTTATATTTATAACTATTGTTTTTATCGAAGAACA